CGGTGTGTATATTAACGGCGGAAGAAGTTTAAGGTTTAATGCTCAGCTGTGATTGTAAGTTTCTTCATTTTCTCATCGCAGTTACTATAGACGATCCTGAATCACTATACTACTCATGACTTAGTCGAATTTGGTTTCCGTCGAGTTACAAACATTCCTGTCCGTTGTTGTATATTGTTGAAATATTAGCATTTAGAGGCTTAAGCCCTCACAAAAGGGCTTATCCAAAGGATGTACATCTATCTTTCCGATGTAGCTTGCTGAGGTGTTGTGCAACAGGTGACTCAGTAATATGAAATTAAACGTTTGGATTACGTATCTGTGAAGGTGACGTACTCAGTCAGTAGGGGTTCCAGCCGTTGTCTTGTGATCTACAATATTCATTTTCAGGAAAATAAAAAATAGTCTATATAATTTCGTGTAGTAGTATATTGTAACGATCGATACTAATACATTTAAAGTAAGCCAGGCCTAAAAACAGGCTGGTGACAGTAGAAGAAGTTCGTACCTCAGCTCTTGTCTATCGTGAATTCTATTCGTAGCTGCAATGATTCTATAAGATAAGAAAGGCTTGAGTTAGAAGGTAAAATATCTTTATGGCTCGCAAAAATGTCGTAGGCGGAGTGTGGCGTGAAACCAGTGTAACGGTAGTTGTCTCTACGGAGATCACTGATTCCAAAATACTCTCCTAAACTTTATTTCCTAATGAGCTGTATTTTAGTGGATAGTACTAAAGATTGTCAAGGCAAGCGCCTATTATAATACTGGAGTCTTTGACTGAAGCTACTCACAGGGTACCCTTTTACTTTAGAAGAACCACAACCCATATGATGAACTTGAATCGTCTTGAATCCGGCGAACCTGATTGCCGCATCGTCTTTGTGTGCTCCCTGTTCCTCTTACTTTTGTTTCCAAGTTGAAGTTACGTAATTCCCGGTCTTAGCCAAGCAGCAAAGATTTTTTTTCTAGTCGGTCTTTCTCTTGTAGTACAACCGTCGCAACCTGGTCCATGAATTATACTCTTTTGAGGTTGACTAAAAGGTCCACATATAATCTCGTACCACTCCTGGCGAGAGGTAGTAGAAATACGAGAGACTGCTTCCCATCTTTGCAGCTCTGTAATGCCACGAGTTTTCTCCAAAACCTTTGGCCACTATTGCCTTTAATGGCATTTCCGCAGTAAATACACCAACATAAGAGAGCCTTAGAGATTGATCTAGATACGATTGGAAAAAAAACATCGTTCGTTACATTAGCAAATTGTATAGATATGCCCCAGATCTATCCAGACATTTAGTAATATTGGGTATGAAATCCTAAACCCGAAACTGCAATTGACAAAACAAAAATACCAGTTCTGCGTGATAGCAATATCTTTCACTCCAGGGCTCTCAATTCGGCAAGACCCGTCTTCCAGAGTCTCCTTCTCAAAACTGCCTCAAATGTTCTGTTGATGACTGTTCAAAATCTGTGGCTGTTTTTCAATATCACAGCTAAGTCGTCTATGCAAGCCAGCAGTTCCCTAATCCCAGCTAAACACCTTTCATAAGAGTTGACGTGTACGTATAGTCTTCTCAGATTTTGAGATTAGACGTTGTATGACTGACAAGACTGAACGTTGTATCTGGAAACCGAACCATATAGACGTAAAAAGACTGTGTACCTCAGCCAAGTCTCACAATCTGGCCTCAGTGAGAGCCTCAAAACCTAGAATTAACCGATCGATAGGAGACCGTTCTGACAGTACTGATGCTTTCGGGGGTAGACAGTTCCAGTCTTGTTTACCGCATTGGAGATCGTTTATCTGGTAGTATGTAAGAAATTTCAGCAGCTAGCTCGAGCTTTCTTCTCGAATTTTCCCGTTGGAATCAAAAACCTTCCGCTGTATAATTTCCCCTTCCTGCCGTTTTTAATATCTTCTAAATGCTACCTTACGTGATCTTAATAGTTGGCACAAAAAAGTCATCCTGTGACGCCAACAACTTGTGTAGGGTTTCGGCCCTCTCCTGGCCCTTAAACTCTCCCCTGATGAGCTTATATAGTTTACCAATGGGTTGCTGTGTTTTATTGCAAGCGCCGTAGTCTCTTTATGTTCAGCTTTATGGTCATTGATTATTTAGTAAGGTAGTTTCATGTTTTGTGTTTAGTGAGAATATATAAAATGAAAGTTAGCGTATCTTGATATGAACCGAGCAAGGTCCATAGAGTGCGCCTGTAATAAAAAGGGCTCGTTCACTGTACACTTGTTTTTAATACCTGGATGATCGTGCCAATAAGTGAGATCGGGTGAAATTCACTGTTCTGGGTTTATTTTTAAATAATGTTAAGCTCTATTTTCAAATAGCTAGGAACGAAAGGCTTTTGGCAACTGAGCGTTAGACTGGAAAATTATACCGTTCAAAATAGCATAATGTGACAAAGTTGTCTTGCAAGTAAAGTAGAAGGAACTCTCAAGTTGGAGGCTTTAATCTATACTCGAAACAATTAAACGAACCCGACGAGGCATTCAGGTACAATAGGTTTAAAAATAACGAAAATGCACTGTTGTCACACAAATTTTTTCAGTAATATTTATAAATTTTTTAGTAACATTTGTATTGTCTGTGTAGCACATATATGAAGTCAGTACACGAGAAAAGTTGTAGTAATTCGGTTTCAATATCTAGTTAGCAACAACAGATAGCACATTTATATTGATTTTTAAGCGCACATTTTCGCATGTGGTCACGCAATACTCATCAACTATGCTCACCCTTATCGTCGTACTGACTGCTTCGCCCACCCCGTACGCTGAATTATCATACTAGGCTATCATTCTCTGATATAGATGGCGAGTGATGCTATCAGAGCTTCTCTGGCTCGAATGGTGGCCACTTTTTGATAATCAGGAAGGCGATGTAAAACCAGGCAGGATAACTGCAGCGTGGCGGTTATAAAGGCACCGACAATGGCGTAGCCACGAGAGTCCCGCGGGAAAGACGCTCGGTGTCCGAGAATTAAGTCAACTTTTTTACGACTGTCGTCAGTCTGTATCTTGAAGCTCCAAACCATACCATATGCAGCAAATCTTAGTAAAGTGAGAATCGCCCAGCGCACCGACACCAGCACCATTTCCAATGATTAATATTGTTATTATTTTACATAGTTTCGAAGAGACAAAAAGTGCGACAGCTGAAAGACATCAAAAGGGATAGGCACTGTACGATATTGTCTCAACCCATAAACGGATAAGCAAAAATCTAGTTGGAAATATACGTCAAGCGTCAGCATAAGTTTACCCGCATGACAAGTCTGAATTAACAGACCGTACGCTCTAAACAACATTCACGAACGATTTCGAAATCTAACGAATGGTAGAAGATGCAGGTTTTCTGATGAGATTTGACGACAGAAATTTATTACATTACGCATTGCAGTAATCTTTCTTTTTTTTTTTCTTTCTCCTTCGACGAATATTTAGCATTCAATACAATGATGTCATGAAGAGAATAAGTGTTAGGTTTGTATAACATAAAAAAAATCAATCCATTGTTGAGTAATTACCTTAGACTGTTGTTGAATACCAAGCTAAGGCAAACACTGACCAGCCGTACATGGCTTCACATCCTGTGAAGGCGAACTTCGTCAACGTGCACCACTTATTTATTCGTTCAAAGCTGTACAACCATGAACACTGTGTTATTGCAAGATTGCTGATGAGCAGTTGTTATGAACTCTGTGAATTATTCAGATCGGTGGAAAGCCTGGCCGCGTACCCGGATCAGTAGAGGATGCTAGCACATTTTTCGATCTTGTTCATGCTCGCCCTAAGACATACATTTAATTAAAAGCATAATCACGCTTCAGTAGTAATACCTGTAATTGACGTTCGTATGTCACCACTAAAGTTTGCTGTGCCGCTAATTTTCTAGTGATTTCCTTTTGATCCAATTCTGTATCACATCTTTTCGAGCATGGCCTGATAAACGTAACGGCTATTATCGTAGTAGTCAAGATGGCAGATGTATAAATGCTCGTAAATAAGTCAATAGTTAAATCATAAAGGTCCTTGATCTTCGAAAGAGTTTCTCACCCATAGAGTAATTCGATTTAGCATATCACGTCCGATGTTTTAGCTGAACATTCTCGTACCGCTTGCCCATCATTTTCTAAACCAGTATCGACCCGTTAGACCAATTAGGAGTTCGTGATTCCTTTTTTACAACACAAACTTCAATATAAAATGCAGATTTTAACGAGGCTAATGAACAATGAATGAAAGCAAGCGCATCATCGTTCTTAGTCATTTTAAAGAAGACATTGAAAGATATCTAAATACGTCCTAGGGCTCCTGCTGATCTTAGGATGTGAGTTATGCCCTGAGTTGCCAGTTTCAGAGATGCGTCCTAGGCAATCAAGTTTTCTTGTAACTAATAATCCAGATGTTAGTCGAGGTTAAACTTGATCGAAAGTCCGTTAGCAGACGCAACTACAATTAAATATCACACAGAACGGGCGACTGTCAATATTGAAGTACAATATCATATATATATTCGAATAACCTAAAATTGAGACGCTGACTGGGACCCATATTGAGACCGCTTTGTTTATCAATGTTACGCTGACTTTGTGATTACAAAATGCGAATCGTAAGTCGACCTGGAAAGGAAAACACGATGTCAATCGCTGGGCCGTTTGCTGCTTTTTCCTTTTGTTCAAAAGAGTCGTCCTTTTTTAATGGTCATTTTACAGTTGTGTGTATTTATAAGTACTGTATCCTAGTATAGCCGCTATAGCTGCCAAACGCGTACAGGATCAGTTTACGTCACTCTATTGGAAAACTGAGTCAATTAAGGTGACTGTTATTTTTAGCTGGAGGGCAACTTATAATATTATAGCGTTTAGGTGTGACAAGTATCGCATCTCGTCGTAAATATTTCCAAATTATACGTCTCCTAATGAACTCAGAAGAGATCTCCGTCATCTGCACAAAATATATTGTAATTAACTAATTGTAAGAATATTGTTCAGTTTTATAATATATTTATTTGTCGTCTCCATCAACCGCCCGGTTTTTACATTATATTACAAAATTTTAATTCCTTTGTGAAGGTTACTATTTTTATCATCATCTCGTTTTAGTCTTTTTCTCGTGGATAGGGATGCAGTTTTACTGATTACATAGGTTATAAGAATATCCATATGATAGGAATAACTTATATCATCTCCGTACAGTCTTTTGCTTCTTCATTCAAACTACCACATTGCTAGATATCCCTCGGAGTACAGCTGATGCTATCGTCTGCGTGATTTCTTTTACTGACCTACTGAAATTTCTCGCTTCTTGGTTGCCACCGACCAATTGGACTTGGATTCGAGTTTATTCACAATACATCAGTCAGTCTATGCATTGGTTTTATAGTGATGTTGGAAATCTGTCTCACTGCTTGCTCTATCATGGCGCCGATTTGCCCACTCACTACAATATGTACTGTAACAGTATTATTTTTAGTTGACTATTTTAGTTATAGTAGTTGAAAAGAGCATAGTGGAAGCATTGTTTGGATAATTCCGCTTCGAGGTAACAAAACGGAATAGTTCCACTTCATTACAACGACGGCGGCGTTGAAGTGGTTCGTCGTCTCACTCTATTACATGCCTAGTCAGTTTCGTGCTAGCTCAGGCAACGACACTCAATCGAAAAACGTTTATATTTTGTTAATTTTTTTTCTTTGCATGACCGAAAATGCTACACGTTCTATACTGCAATAAATTGAACGAAAGCTCTCTGCTGCTAGCATGTGCGCGATCGAGCGGAAATAAAAACTGGCTTTCTTAATTCTTATCAATCAACGCACTTTTTTTACTTTTCTAACCCCTGAAAAATTTTAGTGATAGAAAAACACCATGTTTTTGTGATCCGTTAGATATTGATAATGATGAGTTCAACGCACGCAGGAACGTTCTGAACATCAAATATACGGTTGGCAGTTTGACGATCAGTGAGCATACTGCTGACAAAAGAAACCATATTCGAAACATAAATGCACGTTTTTTTTTCGCTATAGATTCTAAAAGATAAAACATTGTCGGATTGACCTCACCGTTTACCCTCACTTATACGTGTCTACCTAATCCACTCTGTTTAGATCATTTTTCGCTTGCTCTCTCAACGTGTAGCAACCTAATCGATAGATGCTCATAAATGTTTTCCTGCTGCCGAGGCTTAGAGCATCATGGTATGCGGCTTTTCGAGGTAATTCCGGAAATATTGCAACCATTGAGCGCCCACTGCTCCGTCGACCACGCGATGATCGCAGTTGAGTGTCACTTTCATCGCTTTGACAATTCGATAGCCGTTCTCCTTGCATGGTCGTGCCACCTCGCTTGTCTTGCCCACTGATAAGATGCATGCCTGAAATAATGTTGCACAAAGTGAGTCACAATGTATCATTCAAAACAATTGTAGAACATGTGGCAGCGCAGTGATGTTTACCTACTGAACTTAGGCACGTATAAGGCGCTCCCTAAGTTGGACGTAGTCACACCTTGTTTAGTGCTGGGAGTTAGCTGTCTGACACAATATCTAACGGCAGTACCAGACGTAAAATTTATTCATGTATCATATATACCCGATGCAGTTCTTCTTCTTTGACCAGTAAACAAGTCTACAATACACCTCACCTTAAAGTAGCTTGATACTGAGTGAAAATTTCAAACATCTAAATCATGCTACCGTATGGAAACAATAAAATTATGGCTACTTAAGGCAAAAATAGTTCGCGGCTTAATTAAACCAACATGTAAGCCAAGAATTTCTAAAATGATAACAAAGCAATCAGCGATTCTTTTGAAAAATAGTTATATGGGTATCGCGTTATGTTCCTCACCTGTGGCGGGTTAATAATCGCTGAGAAATGATCTACACCAAACATGCCCAGGTTCGACACCGTGAACGTTCCACTGAGGAATTCAGCCGGTTGCAGCTTCTTTTCACGCGCCTTCGTTGCGAGCTCCTTTATATCTTTACTGATTTGCGATAGACCTATGAAACAAAAGAGAAACGAAGGGCAATAACGTTAGACGCCAGGACTACACCAAACGCACAGGGGGTTGATCAGGTTACGAATGCAATAGCCCGACACAGTCCAGCCATATAGGTGTGACCCTAAGTTTTTGCTTAAATGAGATCTAAAACAATGAACTATATCGCCACCGCACTGAATGTAGCGCTAAATACAGTTTGCAAAAATCTGCAGTAAAAAAAACAGAGCATAGGAACCTACACGTTGGTAGCTGTCCGACAGTGACACACTGCATCATGTAGTACCTGACTCGTTATGGGAGCGAAAAACTCACGAAAATGTCGTAAAGCATTAGTCAAGTGTGTGATTCTTTGACAAGCGATAAAAGATGGCCAGTAGAGCTAAGTTGATTGAATATCTGGTTGAAAATTCGAAGCAGAAACGCATTGTCAATGAGGCGGCTTAGCCCTTGTCGTAATACATATACGCGTGTAACACGCATGAATCGTATGAAAAGATGACATCATACCTTTTGTGTCGGCATTAAACACGATGGGAGTAATAAGTCCATCAGGTGTTGACACTGCTACGCTAACGTCAACAGCGTGGTACTCTCGAATAAAAGTGCCCATGAACGACGAGTTGGCGGCAGGAACACGTTTGCACGCCAGCGCTGAAGCCTGCGAAATGATATCAATTACCAAACAGTTGCAGAAATACAACAAAGCTGTTAGATCCTTTGGTACACAGGAACTTGTCGAAAATATATATTTTATTTACTCATACGATCGAGAGTTCTAATGCATTTCTGCCGCTCACATTGACCTTCAAACGAATTTCTCTTACCTTAACAATGAAATCATTTATTGAAAGTTTTCCTTGATCGAGAGCTACATTGAGCTCTTCCCGCATCTTCAATACCTGATCCATTTCGATTTCAATCGTAAGAGAATAATGAGGAATCTGCTGCTTTGATTCAGTGAGCCGTTTGGCAATCGTCTGACGCATATTTGTCAAATCAATATCCGTATATCTGCAAAAGTTAAACAAAATACAGTTAACAGTCAGTACATCTTATCATAGTCGAAGGGAATTTTTAAATAAAAGGTAATCAGAACTTAAAGCTTGCTATTGGACGTCAAAAGCGAAGCCTTTCTAGTATACACGGAACATATAACACGCACGGGGTCACGCAAGGAGTTTTAGGAAGCCATCGGACCGCACTGGCCTACGGTGGCATAATGAGCAACTAGATGAATTAAAATAGAATATCTATTCGAGTTCAGCTGGTCCTGGCCATAGTTAATAAATAATAATAATAATAATGTGCTTTTAAATCAATGAGAAATAACCATACTACGGAAGCAACATTTGTAACAGGATTGTCGACATGAGGAGACCTAGCTTATAGAAGAATCAACATTTTCAACAGTACAGAGCTATACAAATTCTACAATTTTAGGACTTTCAAGTTTAGGGAGCAGCTTCTTAGCCCAGCAAGAGGAAATGCTGACCATTAATGTTGAAAAGTATGCTTTCTTTTAGCACGTATCCGTGATAATGACCATCCACACTATGCTACCTTACATTTTTATAACGAAGAAACTGCATTGTTATGCATCTCTAGACGTATCATGATTATACCAGGAAGACATAGACAGTCTCATATCTGCATATATAGCATATGCCAAACGTTACGCATAAATTTGTAGTTAAACATTACTCTAGAAACTACCCATAGAACTCAACAAGCATCCAATCTATTATGTCAGTCCTCGAAAAACTAGTTTTTATCATCCCATGTTGGTATATATGTGTTTAATCAATAGCTTCACTAACCGGAAACTGGCAACCTTTTGTGGCGCCACCTCTGGCGCAGCACCCACCGGGGAAACACCGGCAGATTGGGCCCTACTTAGGTCTCCAGCAATAACGCGGCCGCCAGGCCCAGACCCAACTACCGATGCTAAATCAAGGCCCTGTTGTGCCGCTAACAAACGCGCAAATGGAGAGGCAAAAATACGGTCTCCTAAAACAGGAGCGGCCCCTATTTGTGAAGACGTAATTTTGGCTGGAACGGGCGATGGTCCTGCTGCAGCGGCTGGCGGCGTCGCTGTCGGAGCCTTGTGTGCACTGTCCGGTTTTGGAGGGGCTGTTGGCAAGCTCGTGTCCGTGAAGTCCTTGAACGCTGGAATGTCAGCTGGATCAGAGACGATAATGCAAAGCAATTTACCAAGTGGGATATCCTTTGAGCCTGCAGGGATAACAATCTTAGCGAGGTAGCCCTCTTCGGGTGTTTCGAAGCCCATTGTGGCTTTGTCAGTCTCAATCTCACAAAGCAAGTCGCCTTCGTCAAGTTTGTCGCCTTCTTTTTTGTCCCACGACACGATTGTGCCCATCTCCATAGTCGGTGACAATGCAGGCAGCGTCACTTTGATATGTGACGGATAACTTCCTAGAAAACGTCGCCGGAAAGAAATTCAAATCTCATGATACCAAATATATTGAGTGCGGTTACAACACTTTGCAGACGACCTTAACCTTTTTAAGTCTAATACACATAGCAAGTTTAATATATATATATATATAGAACGCACACATGAATTTAGGTCTGGCTCTAAAAGTGACCGTTTCTATCGAATAGAAAAATAAATATTGAACACAAACGATAATAAACAATATATGGTACAATGCAAACCTGAGCTGTAGCATCGTGCTTGGGCTCTCTGATGACTGCGTAGTGAACTCGCCTGTTGGATACCTGGTGCACAATTCACCCGCCTTGAAATGAGCAAATATGTTAAACACCGTTAGCCTGTCATCCAGTACCAAATTGTCAGCGTTAAAATATAAGTTTGTCTAAGATACCGAGAGTATGTTCGATCACAGTTCGTTAACTTGAAGCCAAAGTAGCTTACTTTTTGAATTTCAGTTGCTGTCGAAGGTGTTTCCACTACAAGAGAAATATCATAGAGCTATAACGTATCTGTCGTATCACTTTACCGTACTTTTTTTTTACCGCGAAGTAATCAGTCAAGATGGCGCATGATTGAGTTATCTATTTAAACTGAATATTTATTTTCTTATTAAAATAAGCTCCTCTATTTTGTAAAGACTTGGACCGTTAGTGACTCACATAAAATCATATACCCTGATCGTTTAGATTCCTTATCACTAATAAAAATAACCGGGATGACTCACGTCGTACCACTTGTTATCATGTTTTCATTCAAGCAAACCAGCCTTCAGTATTTAGGAATCGTACTAACTGAGAGGGACTGAGCCTTAATGCATACCTGAAAGATTTTTGACATGTAGTATTCATTCAGTTCTTTTCTACATGAGTGCCTTTTATGGATAACTAAGGACACATTAGGACTTAATGTATAATGGCCTTTTCAATTAATAATTGGGCAGTACGCTAAATACTAGATAGGATGATGACTCACAAAGTCATTTACCATCACCCAGATTAATCTGCCAAGTTGGCTCCTGTGTTTTCTACATTGTATCAAAGTATAAACTAACTGAATTATGCCTGTTTAAACGAACTCCGTATGTACATAAAAATACCAAGCTGCCGTGAAGGTTTCCAGAATATTATATCGATTCTCTTGTTAGTTATGACCCTTTGAACTATTTTCAGGCCCCATTTCTAGCTAAATTGACGAATTTGTGTCCATATACTCTGACACGGTCACTAACTGCCAAAGTTTCCTCAACTTTCTTCCGTTTGTTCGACATATAACCGAATAGTCAATCAGATAGTTAATTTTCCTACAACGTAAAACTCTCTTCTTTTTTGGCAATGACGGCTTGTCATAGTTATGGTATAGCTTTTTGGGATATAGCGAGTTCAGCTGCATCATTTTTTTTTATTTAACAAAGAGATATATTTGATCTTTAGAGTATCAATATTGTCCATTGACGCCTTGTGGTTTTTATCTAAATCCAGTCAATAAGGAGCTTGCGCCATTTTGTTCGATCTACGCTCACTATCCCTTTCTCCGGTACACGAGGTATCTACAGTCATGCGCTGTGATCGTATCGCGAACGCTCTTATCGAACTGGCCTGTTGTTTTGTAAGGCAATGTCTTGCCATACATATACAGCCCACAGTAACACGGACACGAAAAACACCCTAATGATAACTCACAATGAACATGGAAGAACCAACGGAGAAAAGCTCAAGCAGGGCTTATCAGCGATAAGTAATGACTATTAATTTTGCGGCACTTTTAATACTGTATTTGAACAACCTCTGAACTTATATATCACATTTGGTATAACCATGGCAAAGCATACTATTTCATTGTTAATCATTATTCTTTCTGTCCTGTAAAATTCTAATCTATTCACCAAACAGTCGATACATCATCGACAGGCAAGGAAACAGGACAAGCATAAAGTGCGACCTTGCGCGAATAACCAATGACCTTCTCCACAATTGTTAAATTTTCCCTTGCGGTTCAGCTTGCATTTGTCGAACTCACAGAAGGTGACTAGTGAACCCTCGGGTAACTTTCGGGACGGTCAAACGTACGGCCGAGATAACTGCGCCGGCCAATGGGCGACGAAGCATCATTTTCAACCTTTTTTGTCCGGGCTCCTCCGCGCGCACCACTCAACACGGGACCACTAATAACATTAGATCGAATGCCCCGCCAGTCGTGTGTCCTGCGTTCTATGTAGAGAAACGGAAAGTATCACTCGGCCACAACGACAACAACAATAACGATATGGCACCATATTGCTCTGCTGGCTTTAACACTCGGAACGGACAGAGATAGCATAAAACCTCTCAAAGGGGCATGCTTCAACGGAAAACACAATGCAAACAGCTAGCAGAAGGCAATGCATTAATCTGAATTAAAGTAAGAAAAATTATAATTTTCAGCGAGATATCAGGTGGCAAAAACGTCTTACTAAATTGGGTTAACGTGCCATATTCGTACCAAATAAGGGAACAACTATTTTAGATCAGCTGATCTGTTTTATTAGCAAATTAGCAGCACGACACGCTAGGGTTTATTTACGCCAAATAGGCCGATGTTTTGCCATTACACACACTAGTTGAAATATGCGAAATCATTCCGAAATTTAGAACTTTGGCGCGCCTTGAAAAAGTCGACGACTGGACAAGGCTGTGACGGGTCGAGCTGGTAGCAAGTATGCTATTACTCAGTGACGCAAGGTATCGAAAAGTTGATTTGTCACAGCTATCTGTGCTGTGAGAAGCATTGTATCATGGGGCTCTTTTTACACACAAAAATTTACGAATGGGTGTCAAATATGTTAAATTATTCATTTCGACAAGTAAACTAGTCGGAAAGCGTACTCGGGAGATGTTCGATGCATACACATTCTGGCCCAGATTGACAATGTCGTCATTGAGATAAATAGACCCGACCGCCTTAAATCAACGACTTGCCCTGTAGCAAATGTAGCATTTCAGTAAGGACAAACTGTTGAGCATATTGCAATAGCCATATTCAGTATTCGCATAGAACTATATTACTACCGATGAGAAGACCTGTAAATCAAACGCTAGATATCAAGCGTTAATGGAAAAAACTACATAATTAAACGGATGTGCCTGCAGTTGCAATTGCGCCCGTACAAATTTTGCGGGTAACTGTCTAGTGAAATTTTGCTTGTGCTCCTTCAGCTCTCTTCATTAAGGTGGCTGTCTTCAATATTTAGAGATCTGGTTGTTTAGCTCCGTAACGCAAGAATTATTCTAAATAAAGGTATATCCCTGTTTGTATGATTGCAAAACAACAAACACAAGTTGTTTCCCGTACTCAGCTAGTCACCACACTTAAGGTATCACTAAGCCGGCGATCAGCAGATAGCGTTCGCTTTCTATAGCGTAAAAACAACACACATTACAGGTACATAAGTAATTGCATTTTTTTTGTTAATATATATAATACAGTCAGCTGCTGATATTCTAGATAATTGACGCTTGCGACAAGCTATTGACACGTATATACTGTTGTGTTCTCCATAATTGTTATTCATTGACGCAATAACATACATTTAACCGATAAAAAACCTCGCTATTTCTTTTACCAAATATCTCGTTGACAGCAAATAAGACATTATTTATAACATATTCAATTAATCCACATTTCGCTAATCAAAGTATTTTAGAGCATTTATATTCTGGTCCAGCAAACCGAAATAGTGGGTGCTTTTTCTTTAGTTGTCATCAGCCGTGCTTCTTAATTATCTTATAAGCAGGCACCCTCGCCTTCCAATTACCAGTCAAATGGCTTCCAACCAACTTTCAATCCGTGGGTATTCCATAAAATAAGCTGCGGGCTGTGCGCGCCCCTCGAACTATTCTGGTAGGCACAACGGTATTCGACGGAACTTTTTTTTTGCGGATTCGTTTGAAAGAGGGTCGACTCCTTCGGCTGTCAGCCAATCAGAGAGATGCAACGTGTGTTGATTGCTGGGGCTCTGCCGGCTGTCGTGCCGCCGACCTCCCGAGCTGCCACGTCCGTAGCAAGCTCAACTTCCATTCGCTCCGTACGTGTGTCCTGAGTCGGTTGGGCATCATGACGTTCGGTCGGTTCGTAATTAGCGTGTTGGCCCTAATCAATGCGGTCAGTACCGCCGATATCGAGACCGATCAGAATGTATTCGTTTTAACGAAGGACAATTTCGATCAAGCCATCCAGGAGCACAAAAACATACTCGTAGAATTCTGTAAGTACATCCAAGTCGTTTAGGTCAGATGGCATCATTTCCGATCTATTGTTTATCAATTGTAGTCACCAGTAAAATGTGTTGGCCGTTGTTCTGTGTGTTGTTAAATGCATTAGACTAGAATAAGGAATCGACAGAAGGCCTGGGTTTTTTGTAAAAGAACAAAGAGCAACTGTCTTGACAGCGGTGCGCCTAGCAGCTTGTTTGAGTGAACTGGAATCTGGCTGTTTAAAAACCCGTTGAGCTGTTGGTGAAAGTATTGTCATTAGCTCGCTGAATTTCACATCGAAGCATTGAGAGGTTTTCGGGGTTGTTTGCTCTTTGTCGGCTTCGACAGTGCGAGCTTGAAGTGGAATTGCGACCGGTTGCCATTATCACATATCCATATAAACGCCTCGATGTTCATCACGGAAAGTTAAGATAGATAGCGTTTGCTTCCATTGCTGCTTAGGAAGAAGGTCATTATGACGATGAGCGATGAATATTTGGGGACTCTAACTTACACGGAAGGTGGTGTCAACCACTTTCTGGTGCAATGTAACGCTTCACACAAGATGTCGGGAAGATCTCCAATCTGATCACGGCTTTGGCTGGTGTGATACCAGCGAACATCTTAGAAAGGAGTCGATTCATGGCGCGGTGACCGTTCGTTACAAAAAGGTTTCACCTGTGCTGTAGCTTCGAATACCTTAAGATCGACAACTACTATCTTCGAGAGAACCGAGAGCTTCGCCCGTTATACCTGTTGCTGTATTGATTTGTCCTAGTCAGAGCAGTGTTTTTGGTAAGTTTAGTGAGTGAAGTAGTGTAAATTCGTACAACAGGCGTGCGACTCTTAATAGAAACTACTCAATTACGTTTCGTGCAGTTTTCTTTACGGATCAATTTTCGGTTCACTGGTTGTAGTTAGTAGTTCAGCTGGCTGTACGACTGCTGAGTTTTACTGTAAAAAGGCTGATGAACATTACGTGCTCTCTTCCGTCAGGAGCAATTTGTCATCGATTTTGGTCATGATGGGCTGTACTATGCCATGGCGGGCAATCGGTGAATTGGCTGACGTAGCAGGCTACAGCTCACCGATACTGTTGACTTGTCCTGCTTTTTATTAACGACATCACTAGATTAAGTGTCTCTACATTTTTCCACGTAGATGTATGCACTGCCTACGTAACATTATTGGCTCGTGCTAATACTGCCGTTGTGAACGGTGCAGCAACCTAATGATCAATTCACCAATAGACATATTTCGTCTTTCCCCGATGTGTGCTATACCAAAAAGGCCGTTAAGTATGCTAGGTGCGTAACTGAATCGTTTGGAAAATTTTTCTCAATTCTCACAGTAGCGACGGGCCAATGTTGAAGGCCAATAATCAAAGGCCCTAGTCATTTTTGAATATGGCCAGTGTCAGGAAGCGATGTCGTCTGGCTAATTAATACGCATCTTTTTGAGTGCATTTATATGCTAACTATCAATATGGGCTGTTTAAAATGTCAGCGTTGGCAAATGGTCACTACGGCATTTCACAATAATGTCTTTCCATAGGTCTCACGGAAAAGGACACGGCTAAGTAAAGAAATACTCATTGATCGGATAGCAAACAGCCAACGAAAGAAGCCTGGCGTAGAGTAGTTCATATAGAGTCTAAGACTTGGCAGTATAAACCAGCTTGTTGCGGGTTTTGGCGGGAGAAGCGGGCTCACTCGTGTCGTGGGCCTCGTTTGGATGAGCACGCAATAAATCCGGGCTGGATCAATGTACAGGAAATAGAGGTTAAGAATCAGCCTCGAGTTAAAGATCGATGTAGCCAATTGTGACGGCCTTTAAGTAGTACTGGCAATTCATATTGCCGTAGTTATATCTGTGACAGCCAGATAGTTTGCGACCAGTTTCGTGCATTGAAGGAACCCGCTCGTTTCGGCGAAACATCGTTGGCAGTGTTCGGTCTGTGAATTCAGAACCAACAATTTTCAAAATAGACCATTACTAATGTGTTTGTTTTGCGCTTAACTTGATAGCGCAGTTTACCATCTCCGTTAAGGTCAACAAGGAAAGGTTAAAAGGCCCATTATAGGTACAGGTTCTCTATGGGAAAGGAAGAACACTTTTATGCCGCACTTTTCATTGAATACATCGATATTTCATGCATCATATATAGGTATGGCAATAGCCGCAGTTTGATTTTTTAACGAGATCCTACGCTGCAAATGCTTTGTTCTATAAAGGGTTTACTTTTCTTGCACTATTTATTCTGTCCATTCAATAACTAGAGGAGGCTCATATATATAGAATTTATAGAAGTTGAACAGTTATTCAGCAGAACCGACAGCGCGTTGACTACGTATTTCTGTCCGTGCCAAGGCCCGTTCGTTCTGTTTGGCGGTGGTTAAACGAAGAACACGATAATTTGCGAATCTCAGAATCTAGTCTAGGTGGATTTTACCAAGCTACCTAAGTTAGTATATGCTAAGCTATATAGACGCTACGAAAAACCATACATTAATTCTGCAATACTGGTTTCGACACTGGCGTTTTTAAGTCGCCGTAACGTATCAAGTTCGGCGGCTATTTCCGATGTTCACTAATAATAATACCCCGAAGCAACAGTTGTTCGATTGTACTGTTGTCAAAGATAATTTCGTAGGTTCTTGTTTTGAACGTTGATGATAACTTTGCGCCTACTTACACATTTTTTGGACGTGCCCTAAACGCAATAGATTTTTTAAAAAGCTAACCTTTCGTAAGTTTGGTTGAACTACATTAGCTATTCAGTGAACTTATTTGCAGACCTGCGCGACGAATCGTCTCTGTTATCTATCGACAATCCTTTACACGGTGAGGATGAAGTCCGAAAATAACTGAATAATTCATTGGGTTTGATTGGTCAAATGGCAGTCTGATAACTACTGCTCCGTACGAAGTTGTATATGATGATTGTCCCACTTAGACCAGCCAGTGTCAACGGCAGCGTGAAAGGTCTGACTATGTTTACTGCGGCTGCTTTGAGCCGACCTGACTTTTGTTCTTGTCTAGTTAGCCAGTAGCCTAGGATAGGATAGGTTAAGTTTAGGGTAAACTTAACTTGGCGTTCACGATAGAGTTAGCCATCTGCGTCCTGTGTGAAGGGCGGCGTGTTTTTCAAGGTGTCCTATCATTCATGCCTGCGTGAGTGTGCGCTATTTTAACCAGGCAATACTGCTGCTACAGGTGTCCAGACTGAAGTAGCCATAGTTTGAAAATAAAATCGCCAAATAATATATGGACTGCTGACGAGCTTTTGGCTGCCGCTCCTGCTTCTTCATCTCAAATAAGATATGGACTGACATATATTAAAGTTTAAATTGAACGGACGGATGGACTGGAGCTGGAGCACGTCACTCGGCAGCCGGCTCTAAGCGGGTTAGCTGTATACGAGTGGTTACCTGGCGTCCTATCTATCTTGTTCAGCAAAGTAACTGGTCATCAACAGTTGCAGCTGTTTAGGGAAGGGAGGCCCGTTTTGTTCTATTAGAAGAAAGAACTCGACGACGCATGAACGACGATAGGTGTCGGTGCAGCTCTCTCTGCTAGAAGCAATCACAGATATTGGGTGTCGGCTGCGTGCTGTAGCGCTCATCGAGCAGCGGGCTCCGTCTTATAGAGCTACGTCTCCTTGTGGGCTACATCAGCAATAACACGAGTCCTGCCCACGCGTCCCAACTGGTTTCGCAATCGCGCTGCTACGCCCACGTAGCTACTACTACCTGAACGGACAAAGGAGGGTTAGAGAAGCTATAGACCTGCCGATCATCATGATTCTCTAATGACAATGATCTTGCTTCCGCTCAATGAATAGAGAACGGTGATAATGAATCGGTCCATTATACATTGTTCGTTATGATGAGCTGTCGCTAGTTTATTGTTTCTGTTCATTTCCATTCTTTTTTTTATCCATGCTCCTACTCAACAAGTAAACTCAGTTGAAACGAAAAGAAAGCTTTGTTTAAGGCTTTTCTAAATATTAATCGAAGTCGCTTTTTCGACGATAAGCAAATCAAATACAGTGGATGTGTTTAATCATCGATGACTGGTGCGATGCCTACGTTGTGCCATGTGTGCTAAAAAAAATAGGGACTTCCCACAAACATTTGCAGCAACTCATGTCGGCATTTATTGCGCCGTAAGGCTTGAAAGCTGTAAAACAATAGCCCCAAATTCTTGAACTGAGCTACCGGAATTCTTTGCTAGCTAATTCAAGTTATTATATGTCACTCTTTCTTCACTCTGTGTTTTTCACTGATCCGGATATAGTTACTACAACATCGGGTCAATGTCTCATTTTATGGTTGTTATTCTATGTTATAGTTTTAGCGATGACGATCATTGGCAGCGTCCTGAAGGGTAAGGGGCGTGGTTGTGTTTTTAGTTCTATTTACGCAGTGGAACCAATACTATTTTGTATAAGGACCTTCTAATGATAATGTAGTTTCTGTTGTTTGCTCGAAGTTGCTCTCTTGGTTCGCTTTTCCGGCTATCACTTCCTTCCTTCGTAGTGATACCAACATTAGTCGCTTGCGACGGTCGGCCTGTTGCTGGTTGACTCCTGCTGATCACCAAACGTAACTGTCTGCGCCGTACGTGTTCTTCTGCTAGTACTGTATGTAGTAGTCTCGATAGCTATCTAGCTATATGGTAGTAACATGCGCAGCATGCTCTTCACAGTGAGTATGGTGGAAGGTAGCTGTTGTCTTAGCAATTTGTGAGCGACAGCAGCGGTATGTTGAACCCTGTCTTTTCTGGTGTCGGGACGAATCGTGCTGAGGACTTTGATCCCGCGATCCATTAGCAGAACGCCAGAATTATAGCCGGCTCATCTGCCGGTAGTATCCTCGTAGTGGTAAGTGAACGGGCATCGTGCGACTATGTCTGCATCGACAAAGCCAGACAAGCAAGATGCGTATGCAAACGATAGAACTCCGTTCACGGCAACAGCGAACTTCGCGCACAGCAAGGAAAACTAGAGCAAGTGATGTTAATCTATTTTTTGAGAAGCGTTAGGCCTGCCAACCGTTTGGGTTGTGATGATCATCAGTAGTTGAGCTAATCGATTGGAGTCGTTTGATGTACTTATTACGGGCGCGATAGCGGCGCTAAAAGCGACAAGCGTTAAGGTAGAAAAGGAAGAATTACGAGTATACGCGGAATACGTATACGCGAGTATACGGAAAATAATTTAGGCAAAATGGTAGACATTTTCTTCCGCATGCTGTTCTATGATCGGCATCGAAATTAATGCTCTGCCAAATTTAGGCAAGGACTTATTAGCTTGAGCTAGGTGCTGGTTCTTCGGAATTGTTCTTTTTTAATTGCTTACAAAGATCTTTGAATGAATGACCTTTGAAATTAAATAGCAGCTGTTTCAAGAGTAATCTTAGTACTGCCAAGTTTGGAAGTTTTGCATGAGCGTATTTTGGTGTACTTGCGTAAGTAAACTTCTTATTGACACAGACTGTATAGCACATCGCTGGCAACGAATGGAATTAACGACGATCTAGTATAGTCGTTAATTAGAACTACCCACCAATGACACGCATTAAATATTTCACATATATATATACACACACAGTGAATAAAGAAAGTTACCATATTCTTTTAATTCGAACCTCATAGCTTTTCATATTTCGCTTTTTTAATATTCGACACCCTACGGAAGTAACTAATGCTATCAGATGTTATCAATGATATTCGTAAGTGTTGCTTGCGAGGAGATCGTTAAAACAACGAAGTTTTAAACGGTTGAGGCAGATGCTGTGAAGGCAAGTAACCCTTGCAACTCCTCAGCGACTTCTTTGTACCGACTTACGTATACCGCATATGTCGCCGAGTAGACGAGCCTGCCTCATTAAAGATGCTGAAGTTAGAGGAAGCTGGTACCTGACTGTGACGCAGTCATGCGCTATTATGGCCTAAGCCACAGCAGGCAACATCGCTAACAACCAGAAGCATTACTGTATTTGACGAAGTGTTGTTTATCCCATTGTGTTGTCGCGCTGAGAACAACAAGTAAGCAGGCCATATTGAATGCGAAGGCTGTATTTTTTAGCCATATTCCGCCATAGCAAGCAAACATGCAGGGGATCAATGCTTTTATCTGGATGTATGGCTAACGTATGTCAATTTTCTCGTATTGGTTTGAATATAATGTTGTTTTTAGAGATTTACCCATGGCTGCCAGCCAATTTTATGCCTGTCAGATTAACGTATCCTATTTAGCAGCGATTCCAAAACTGTTACCTTGATTTCTTCGTAGAGCTTGGAAGGTTTGCTACATTTCTTTGTAACACATGATTGAAATTTAGGCTTGCACGTTTCGTATGTTGACTCACTACAAATCTAAATCATGAGGTACTACTATAGAGTAATCGCGGAAAAGGTCCACGGCATAACTGGACCCGTTTTAGCACCCTCCGAGACTCGCCAAGTTCGGTGTACACATTGTGGTGTGTCAGCTCTGGTGAGAAGTAATGTTTTTCCATCGGTTTGTGGCTTTCCGGTCTGTGAGTCCTACTGGACTTAACTGGGTTTTTTTCTCTAACAGATCTGTGAAACGGCATGGTAACGACATACTATAGTAAACCAAATGCTGAGGTATTCACCAGCGGTAGCCGCATATTCAAGGTTTCCTAGATGCTAATTAGCAAACCAGACCACATCGCGGCCTTGGTGTTGCATCAAACAGATAATCTGGTGTATATGGTCGCACCACGTAATTCCGCGTTGAGTTAACGTTATGGCTCATTTGGCTATGGCGATAAAAGGGTGAATTTCGTTCTACGCGGATAAGCGCACGCCACTTGAAGCATTGGGACCTGCTTCTGTCGGCTTGCTTCTATTATGGCTCATAAATCAATTGCAGTTAAGCCGAATGAGAGAAAAAAAAAACCATACGTTCTAGAGCGGTTGTTCAATGTTATCAGTGTTAGGTTAATTCGGCAATATCGTTGAAAGAGGCTGTCGAAACTTGTTAATTATAGAAATGTCTGTTTATACTGTAGGCTACTCCTTCAAACTGTAAAATTCGTGAAATCTTACAAAATATGCTCGAGTCAAGTTAACATTAGGGCCCGCACTCGGAAAGGCGACGAGATCGTTGCAGCTGTCTCATCACCGGTCAGCGGCTTATGAAACTGCGCAAGATTATTCTGCCTTTTGTCCTCCATGTGGTTTATGATTTTATTAACAAGATGGTATGTGTCATCTTTAGTACAGATCTGTTCGCAGCCTGTTAGATCAAAAATCTGTCGAATCATGTTTCCTTGTTAATATTTTGCACTTGCGCTACTTCATGCTTATCTTGAAGTTTATTTACTAAAATTTCAGATGCCCCGTGGTGCGGACACTGTAAGGCGTTAGCGCCCGAATATGTCAAAGCCGCCACTGAACTTGCTGAAGAAAAATCCGAACTGAAGCTCGCAAAGGTTGACGCCACCGAGCAGAAAGAACTCGGCGAGCGCTTTGAGGTGAGTTCTGAAAAATAATGTTGCTCTATACTCTGTATTCTACAAACTTGATATTATATAAACGTTATATTTGTTTGGAATTGTGGTGATAGTTAATTTATTGGATAGCTTAGATTATGGAAGTTGAGAAGGGCCAGCTTTGATCCGAATATAGTTCCGTCCTTTCCCACCTCCAGCACAATGCCTTTCTATAGTGACGACGTTTAACTTTGATCTTAGTGGTAAATTGTTTTTATTGTATACAGATTGGAGGCTATCCGACACTGAAGCTTTTCCGCGAGGGAAAGCCAATTGACTATAATGGAGGTCGTACCGCTCCTGAAATCATCCGCTGGTTAAAGAAGAAGACTGGTCCTCCAGCCCATGATGTTATCACTGCCGATGAGATTAATGCTCTCAAGGAAGCCAACGATGTGATCGTGGTTGGCCTGTTCAAAGACCAAGAGTCGGAGGCTGCAAAAATTTTCCTTCAGACCGCCATCGAATTTGATGAGCAACCATTTGTTATTTCGTCGGCAGATGCTGTTTTCAATGCTGTCGAGGGTAAAGACGGTCAGGTTGTTTTGTTGAAAAAGTTCGACGAAGGTCGCAATGTCCTAGAGAAAGTAGAGACTGCCGAGGCCACAAAGAAGTTCGTCGTATCGAATTCGTTACCTCTGGTTATCGAGTTCTCTCATGAGTCAGCGTCGAAGATCTTCGGAGGTGAGATAAAGAATCACAACCTTCTATTCTTGAGCAAGAAGGCAGAGAACTACGATGAGTCGTTTGCCAAGTTCCGTAAGGCTGCTGAGCAATTTAAAAGCCAGGTTATCTTTGTCACCATTGATACTGAGAACGCTGACCACAGCCGTATCCTGGACTTCTTCGGGGTCAAAAAGGCCGACAAGCCGCAGATGCGCATGATCAAGCTTCAGGATGAGATGGCGAAATTCAAGCCCGATGATGAAACCAACCTGGACGCGGATGTCGTTTCATTATTCGTAAAAGGTGTCCTTGATGGTACAGTGAAACAACACCTGCTCTCACAGGACCTCCCTGAGGACTGGAACGACAAGCCTGTTAAGGTTCTCGTATCAAGCAACTTCGATGAGATTGCCATGGACAAGGGCAAGCACGTTCTTGTTGAGTTCTATGCCCCATGGTGCGGTCACTGTAAGCAACTTGCCCCAATCTACGATGAGCTTGGCGAGGCCTTTAAGGAACGCGATGACGTTGTCATTGCCAAGATGGATGCTACCGCTAACGAGCTTGAGCACACTAAGATCAACTCGTTCCCCACACTCAAGCTATACAAGAAGGATACAAACGAAATTATCGAGTTCGTTGGTGAGCGCACCTTAGAGGGAATGAAGAAGTTCATTGAATCAGGCGGTGAGTACGGCAAGTCGGCACCTGAAGACGTTCAAGAGGACGAGGAGAACGCCGAGGACGACGAGCACGGACCGCGTGACGAGCTGTAATCGCCTCCTTCGTGAAATGGAGTCACCATAAGTCTTCTCTAAACGAAAGAAACACGTGTGAGAGCGAAAGCGAGAGCGAGAGAAAGTTAGGTACAGAGAAGCAATACATTTCAGGAGTCCGTAGGGAATCAGGCAGGGTTTTATGTTCTACACCAACAACAAACGACAGAAAACGATAACGCCTAGCGCGATTTCAAGCAGGGAGGATAGCGAATAAATAAAGGGTATTGATTGCCGCTGGTTACTCTGTGTAATGGGTGAGAAATTACATTGACCTGACGGCACAGACTAGGGTCGTGCCGCATTATGTCCCGCCTGGTTAAAAGAATAGTGTGATTCCCAAAAATTCTTAGAGGGGATAGCGTGCTACTAGAGAAAGACACGTCCCTTCGCTTTGAAGAACGTGCGTTTGTTTTATTTATTTTCGAATTACAGCAAAAGAAGCGACAACTATTCGGCGGCGCACCTATGGAAGATTCATTAGATTAGAGGTGGGGGTAATAGATGACAATGTAAATAAATTCTAAAAAAATCGTTATTTCTGATATGGCTTATGCGTTCTGATTAAAATAGTTCTCTTCTATATATTAGCATACATTAAAAGTTCAAAGAAGTGAGGAGTCCAAGTTCTATTTAAATTAAGGAAATCTTGAGAAGACCGACAATACCTGTGTTATGTGGAATTCGTAGGATTCAGAAAAAGAACTTCAAAATGATTTAAGTAAACATGACTAACTGACCAAGCCTTTCACGGACAGGACGTTCTGCAACTATCGTTTGACTGGACATTTAATACAGATGTATCTAAGTGCAGGGGGTAATAGCAAAAACTGAGAGAGACATAAGACCAGTGTAACTTATACTATTCCCCAGAAATGCATATCTACCCATCTCAGCCTCTTACTTTCAAATCTACGCGCGCACAAAATTCCAAAAAAGTATTTATAAACTAGTTTTATGAACTCTTCCATAGAAAATTTACCCTTTGGCTGCTTATTTACCTGAACTTAGGGACAGTTTGTTTTATCTAATCATTGTTTTAATGTATTAGTATAAAAAAAGGAATGAACACACACGAAATCTGGCAAGCAACGATTACGTTTTACCCATGAGTTATTCTTGTATAGTAAGTATATAAGTAGTTTAGATGGACTGCAATGGGTAAGTGATTCGGGACTTTTCGATACTCAATATCGAATGACTGGTATATTTCACATTTCAAGAGATGTTTTTCTTGATAATCCTTAAAACCAGTTGCGTGCAAATAGTCAAAATAAGTTATGTACGGAAAATTCAGCAAAAGTTAAGACTAAATTTTAACAGTGAAAAATGAAGTAAAGATTCATACGAGCTTAATCATCGAATCTAACCTTGTTATATTACTGCTTAATCGGCACGGTTTTATCCGTTCGCTTGTTGACAAGACGATACTATGAAAATTAAATCTCTACACGTAGTTTTTCAGTAGTACGGAAATCTGAGTTTCCTCTGAAGCTGCAAGCGTCGTGTAATAGAACCTTAGGTTCTTATTTGTTTAAACCTTTTTCATTACGGTTCAAGTTTAAAAAAAAAAATCGAAATATTTCTAGGAAAAATCGATGTTGAACGCGCAAAGATGACTTGCCGCTCAGTGCCCGTAGTTTTATGTAGAAAACCTAAGAATTAGTTTTTTTAGTGCACTCTTTTTCAAAGCAAGCTATCTAAGTGGGGTAACGATATTAATAATTTAATTGTTTCTATTTAGGACGTGGGCTCTGAAGCACTCTACATATTGTGTTTGCGTTCCATGAAGCAGGTGAACGGTGAATTACAAAACTACGCCCCACTTCATTCTCAATGTATCGCGTTTATACACGCAGCAAGCCCCAGGGTGTGTGGCGCGCATTGACCCACACAGTAATACTGAAGCTTAGATTGCTCATATAGTACTGGGGAGGACGCTGCACATATTGTCCATTAGATAATAGTTTAGACATTGTTATGCATTTATAATTATGCGCTATTCTACAGTGCGTGTCTTTTTGAGAGTTGTCCTTTGGTCCCGGTAGGTTTCTATTCAAAAAGCAAATTTATCAATTTTTAATGGTAGAATTTTCAACTAATAAGAATAGTAACAACTTATCAGATATGCACAATATTCCAACCTTATTAAAAACTATTATTCTTGCCGCTGTGCATCATATATGAATTCATTGAAAGATCGCCACGAGACCGCAAATCGCTAACTGCTCAGATATGTGATCCCGTTAAAAAAAAAGATGTACAGTTTTTTTCTTCGAAAAACTAATTGTGTTAGGTTTATATAAAAGATACATAGCCTAACAAAAAGCGCTCCGTTAAAGATTAGACTTCCGCCAAGCTTCAAAATATTGAAACGATAATCATATGTAACCCTGTTCCGCTAAACTAGATAAGTGGTGGTGATAACTCCACCATAACTATTTACCACCCTCACAGGTTAGATGGTGTCTAGGCATGGAGATAGCTTAATAGGCCGTTTTAAGGAATCGGTTTTAAAGAGATTGAATGGCCTTGTCTACCTTCAGGAACTCAGCTATCACTACAGTATATAAAAAGTGATGTCAAGAAGCTTTGAAACCCATAAGCCAGTCGTACAGGTTCAAGTTCGTGTACCCGCCGTAGTGGAGCAACTCAGCGGGTTACTTGCCACTTACAACCCATTCAGCTAGTTCTAATTTACGCACGATCTCAACCAACACGAAATTGCAAAGGGTCATTAAGTTCTCTACGCGAATCATAAGAGGGTCATAAACAGCAGCGGTGGTCCTCTACATTATATGGATCTCGGCTTTTCCCGTGCCTTCGACAAAAAAGAAAACAATTTTATTTAGCAAAAACACTCGCTCTTAGGTAAGACTGCGAATAGTTTGGTATCGCTGCGTTATCTTCCAAATGAGGTGCTTTAAGTTATAATTGACACTCTATTTTTAACGATAATTCCTATATTTGTGGGATTAACCCAGAGAAGTTACGTAGGCCTACTCATAAGATCATGATGTAGAACTTTATTGACGTTCCCCAAAAGGACCTTTACAGGCCCTTGGAGTTTTTCCGACTATCATTGTTAGTACCTATCCACATATTTACCTATACCTATCACCTAGTATTAAGACTCTATGTATGTGTGTCTTTCTGATACCTTGAAGTAGTCGGATTAGAACGACTTTTGACGTGTCGCTAGAATTTTTTGGGTAGGGCTATGCTTAACATGGGGCTGAGATTTTTAAAAGATATTTTTGCTGGAGGGAGTTTGTTTTGCCTGCCTCGCAGAGTGTAATATAAATTTGGGCAAGTATCTTGCAATTCTATGCTTCTTTGTACTTTTTTGCAGGAATCTTTTATACATATCTATGGGAGGATTGTAGGGGTTAATGTGGACTATTTTAATGAGATTTTCGCGGAAAAATGTTTTGAACTGATAAAATGGTAGCCGAATATTTACACGGAGGATTATGTAAGAAGGTTGTTCTTAACACCAGTTGAAGGCTCTCGCCGAGCTGAATCAAAGCCCTATACATGTTCTTATACCCAAACTTCAGTTTTCAGGTTGAAAATACCACCAAAGGGTAAAACCTTTGTGGCCTGTTATGTACATTTTTTTAAGATTAATCTATAGGTCTCGGCAAACTAACTAAAAATGCAATGTTCGTTTTTATATTTAAAATGCATATTTCGTTGTGAAAATAGTCACAAACTGATCAAGGGGCTCATCACGCTCACGTGACAAAGGGGTAAAAATTGATTTCCAGCTACTTATAAGTGCTTCTTTAAGCGAATTTATAATAAGCGTCAACAAAGCTATAGCGTCTCATATGACAAATATTCAAATTTAAGGGCTGCTTCCAAAAATACTCTCTTCAAAGTTTTTGAGAGAACTACCAAAAAAATATGAAAAACATTTTTTTCAATACCACTTTGTTGACGGCAATATTTACACCAGTCTATAGATTTTGACGAACTGAGTGAAAATGCAATACATCTATTTTTCAACACCTAAAATTGATATTTAGACGTAAGAAAGCCGAAAATCGGAGTTGGTAGCTTTTTCCCTTAGGTAACGCTAAGATGATTTTTTGTCGACATGGACGTGTATGTAGGGAAAATACTTCGTGTAATTAACCGAAAGCTGTCGATAAACTTCAATACAATGCATATACTTACACTTTAAGTTCATATTTTGACATGAAAATCGTGAAACCTTTTTGGTCATGTTGGTTTGCCTATGTAATAACAAAATAAAAATGCGCTTTGAGTATTTTTTATATGAATTTCTAATAAATGTCAGTTACATAATTAAAGCGACAACTGTGAAGTTGATTTTCGTAAAGATTTTTCGCTAATTAATAACCTTTGAAGGGCAATGCCAAAACGGGAAGTAAATTTATGTGTGACTATCTATTAAGTAAAAAAAATAGAGTGACAGAAATCTCTAAGTTTTGGCGACGTCCTGAAAACCAATACGCCACACAAACATATTTCAATTTTATGTATCAATATTATATATATATATATATATATATATTTCAAAGAAGGTGTACCTACTCGTTACAAAAAAGGAAAATAAAAAACACGCAAGCATTATTGACATCTCGAGAAAAAAGCCAATTTCAATGTCGTACAAAAAGAAGTGTAATTATTTTTTATAAAACAAGATTTTGAATTCTATAAGCCTCGGTGACGCCCCAATAACAGAATTAATAGGTTAGTTGATGTTGTAGATGAAAACGTCCATTACATAAAAAGTGGAAGCTGTTACAGCGTGAAGCCAGCCTGTTGCTAAAATGTTCATAAATTCATCAATCTTAAAAAAAATCTAAATAAGTAGGTCATTTTAGGATTTGAACGTTTTTCTTTAAACACTCTTCTGCAGCAGGAAGAAGGTACATACATCCACATTAAAAAGTATAAGAACCAACGGTGCTCAACTCGTTAATGATATCTGTACTAGATTATGCTACGGCCAGTACTCGTTGTGCTGCAAAAGGTGCGATGAGTGTGGTTGTGCAAGATGGAAACGATCTGATAAACCTTTAATTTGGCAATATGCGAAATACTCACGACCTGTGCACGCCATCAGAGTATCAAACGTTTTATGGTATACCTCTCCTCCGTTTGATACAAACAAAATTAATTAACTAGCATTTATCATTTTGAGGGTCAACGTGAAGAACTGTGTGTTTGGAACGTAGTTTTTTCGTAAGCCTATGACTTCCACAAAATAGATGTAGATTTTTCCTAGCTCTAAAATTTAACCCAACCGTGAACGCACTTTTTTTACCATTTTAACCTTTAACGTCCCTGATTTTTTTGTTTTGTTGATTTATGTTTTTCACATTATGCTCATGAAAAATATCGATTAAAGAATTTGAATCAGCGGTCTTTGTTACGAGTTCCACAATCGAGCTGAGCGGATAGCGAGTAGTTTTTTCATCCAACGATTTAGACGGACACACCTTTGGCCTTCTCAGCAAAGCGTGTAAACATGGATCAGGCATCCTAGATGTACTTCCAGTTAGAACAGGTAGA